AGTTGAGGTATACCTATGATGAAAATTACAGGCCTCTCTCATCTTTTTAAGTGGGAGAATTGCACAATTGGTGGCTGACTAAATACTTTTTTGCCCCACTGTATAATCTAATCTTCAAATCCCCATGTAAGATTCGCCCCGCCTGCATTTTGCAAGCAATGTTCTTTTTCACTGTTTGGGAGTGAAATCTGAAGTCTGCTGAATGGGGGCCTGTAAAAGTCAAGGTTTTACTATAGAATTATTCAAGGATAATTTGAAACAATATGTATACTTTATGTGAAGAATGTTCATATTCACAGGTAAACACTCAAGGTTATTCTACTAAAAACATATGCTTGAAATGTTCCATAACTTTATTTGTGCCTGCAGTTGTAAGTATTGGTAAAATATTTTGTTAATGTCAGTATCCTTCTCAACTAGATATTTCGTGAAGCAAGAAGAACCCTACCAAGTATTGTTTACATGCCTCATATTGGTGATTGGTGGGAAGCTGTCAGTGAAACTGTGAGAGCAACTTTTCTAACTTTGCTGCAAGATATACCATCATTCTCACCAATATTTCTACTCTCTACCTCTGAAACAATGTATAGTGAATTGCCTGAAGAGGTGAGCATTGAGTGATTTCTTGGGAAATGAACAAGCACTGCTTAGGTAATAGTGAACCAGATCTGAAGCATCCTAATCTGTTGATGCAAGACCTTGTCAGTTTTTCTAAATGGGAGGGAAACCTCCACTCCAGTATCCAAGCATCTTTTTATATCTGAGGGAATGTAATAATTCTGTTGTTATATGTTAAAAATGGAGGTTGCAGTTTGATAACATATATTATTAGAGGCTTTAAAAAAAAACAATTTGAATTATCAGAGGCTGCCATTTTTGTCTTTTTTGGGGGGGGGATGCCTTGAAGTCAGTGTTGACTGCAGTTTTCTTGGCAAGATTTCAGAAGTGGTTTGTCACTGCCTCCTTCCTAAGCTGAGAGGGTGTGACTGGCCCAGGGTGACCCAGCTGGCTTTGTGTCCAAGGTGGGACTACAACTCATAGTCTCCCAGTTTCTAGCCTCATGCCTGAACCACTACACCAAACTGGCTCTCCGCATTTTTGTCTAGATGATGATAATTATATTTACAAATGTTCTAAAGTGGGAGAAATGTCTGATCTATTATGCTGAAGCCTCTGCTCTGTGGTTGCTGAAATAGCTGGCTTTCCATTAATTGAAAAACATTGTGAATTATTGTTTTTCTTCTGTATTACTTTGCTTTGGGCATAATTATTATCAACCAAGTTAGTATAACTAGTTAATAAGTTATTATTAGCCAAGATGGCCTATCTAATTTTGCTATACCATATGCAGGTAGAAAAGTCTGAATGGTCATTTTGACCATTCATGGAATAGTGGAGAAAGGATGGGGGGAAGGCACTGATTTCTTAATTTTTTAAAAAAGTTATTTGTTTAAAGATTTACAAATAAAAAGAAAAAGAAGACAAAGAAAAAGAAAAAGAAAAAGGAGAAAAAGTATAGAACATGTTATCATATATATGAAAAAGCAGCTCAGTTTTAAACATGAGTAAATATTGGTCAGTCTTTCCATTATATTGATAGCCAGTTCACAAGCAGAGAATAAACACATGTCATAAATCTGCAGTTGGGGGTGAAGGGAGAGAAAATATTCTATGATTATTCAGATTTGCCTAATTTGTTCTTTGGATACCAGACTCTTAAATATTCACCTATTATTGTATCCATATTCAAGTAGTACATGACTCCAGCATTCTGCTGTTCATTTTCAATGTTTTATGGGACTCAGTGTTCTAAGCAACAGATGTTAAAATCAGCTTATTTTGAGAAAGTAATTTGAGATATTACTTTTCCCAGTATGAACACCATAGAAAAGTCCTTTCATAGCATTTAATCAGGAGTAGTGTAGGGTTACAATTTTCATTCTTTTAACCACTGCAGTTTGATGTGGACCACTGAGAATTGTAGTCGATCATTTATAGAGGGCATCTGGTATACTCACTGGGCCTTGAAATATTCCTGGCAACGTATATAATGAATTGGCAGGATATTTTAATGGTCTACATATGGAATGGTGATCTTCCTTACTGCTGAACCATCAAAATGTAATGGTGCAACTGATTATAAAATAGCCAGAATATATTTTCAATACTTCTAATTCCCACTGTTTTCATGTAGGTGAAGTGTATCTTTAAAATTCAGTATGAAGAGGTTTTTTATATTCAAAGACCTAGCAAAGAAGACAGGCGCAAATTTTTCCAAGAGCTGGTTCTCAATCAAGCATCAATGCCTCCTCCAAGGAGAAAACACACAGGTAAATTAATGATTTAGAAAATCTGGAATGTATGCCTTTTCCATATGAAAACCATACTGTTGGTATATTTAAACATTACTTTTGAAATAACATGAGTTGACTATTATACTACATGGGATTTATGTCCAAATGTATTTTGCTAACTCCCCAGTTTTAGCTTCAAAATGGAATGAGAGGACAGGGGAGAATGACAAAGGTCAAGTCCCAGACCTATTCACAATCAGCAGCTAATACATGTTGCAGACTTGAGCATAAGAAATTAAATGGCAAAGATTGCAGATGATGCAAAATTATTCAGGATAATTGGATTGTTAACAACTTCAGAAGAATATTTCCAAGCTGGATGAATGTGGGTATGAAGCAAAATAGCTAACATGAGGTACTGTAAATGAGGGTGAAGTGCTGCCCATTTGGGCAAAGTGCATTGTATTGTGATACAATGTGAATTGGCAGTGACTAATCAAGAAAAGGAAGAATGACTTTTTTTTGTAGTTTGGTAAAAATATGAATTGCATGAACATTTCATGTAATTGCTCTGAAAAGGGGGAAAATTCAATGATGAGGATAATTAGATGGTGCCTTTACTATTTTTTCCTATGGAGGTATCTGGCATGCCACTTAAAAAGTCAAGTGCAATCATTGACCTGAAAAAGTCGTGTGCCTCCTGTTCCCTTTAAAAATGCTTGAGGGGAATTTCTAGTCTCACAGCATAAAGCTCTTAAACCTGGTCCTGACTCCTTTTGGAATTGAGTGTCATGAATGTATCTGCTGTATAAATCTTCTACAGCAGCCTGGGGAAACTCTGGTCCTCCAGTTGTTGAATTTCTGATTCCAGTTAGCCCCAATCAGTACGGTCAGTGGTGAAGAAATCCTGGAAACTTGCAGAACATCTGGAGGAGCACAGATTCTTCACCTCTGTTCCAAAGAAACAAAGATATTCTGTGTAATTTACCTGGTATGCATTAATATAAATAGCCATGTAGGAACTTGAAATGCTTGCCATCATGTCTCTTGTCAGCACTTGAAAGACGGGTACAATTGCTTACTGTAAAGCTCTACAGTTCAGTGGTTCTTCCTTGGTCTGCAAAATTGAGATGAACATAACGTTCTTGGGTTTTAAGGATATGATATTTAGTATGTGGAAGCTATAAATCAAAAAGCCTACTTTGCCTGACTTCCAGTTCTGTTTTAGCTCTTTCTGATATGGAGGTCCTTCCTCTTGCATTGCCACCTCCTACCCGCCAGCTATCAGAGGCAGAAAAGCAGCGAATGGAAGACCAGGAAGAAAACACATTGAGAGAGCTGCGGTTGTTTCTCAGGGATGTTACCAAGAGGCTGGCTACAGACAAACGCTTTAACATCTTCAGCAAACCGGTGGATATTGAAGAGGTCTTGTTTCAGTAATGTGCAAACAATGAAGTTGACCTTCTAGCAATTAATCCAAAAGCTACAGCTTGGTTATTTTCATAGACAATATCTATATCTAACCTGTTTTGCATATTTTCAGGGATGGTGGCATATTGTTAACTTTTGAAGCCACAGCTATCTTGCTGTAGTCATCTGGCTAACATAGCCTAGAACTCTGTATAGTTCAGGCTGCATCTTCCATAATGTGGCAATAATTTTAATTGGTCACAGAAATAGATGCTTGAAGAAACAACATTGAGCTATTGGAAGTGTCGGAAGAAATTTGGTGAATTATATTGCCTAATCCAGAAAATTCTACAAATTGGACATTAATCTCTCCCCTTACCTTTTTCTAGTTGAAGAGAAAATTGAAAAGTTAAAGGCTCTAACTGCACTATTTGATCTTACTGTAATTGTCATATAACAAATAAAAGTATTGAATTGGCTAGTCAAATTTGAGCCACTTTTAAATTTTCTGAGCTTTGCACAGAAAAAGAAAAATAATAATTGTTATGAGGCAAAGCTGCTATATCTTTCATCTCTGCACATAGGATGTCACTTTTAGATTATGTTTATAAATGATTGTGACATCTGTACTCTTTTTGGTCAACTTCAAAGCTCAATTTTGCACAAATAATTCAAGAAATAAAAAATGTGATGTGCTTAGGAAAAAATGTAATTTCCACTATGCTAACATGTAGGGGTTTGATTATTCAAGGATAGGGCTACTTGATCAGGGCTGCAAAGGTCCAGATCGCCACTAGGTGGCAGCAAAGAGATTCAGAAAACTCAAAGGAAATTTTGCAGTCCAGGTCCCCTAATTGTATTTAAGGGGTGTCTTTTATGTGCTCTTATATGATTTAAATCAGCTTTTCTCATCCTAACATTCTCAGGTGTGTTCAGTTATAATGTATATTCCTATCAGCATGGGAATAATGTGGTCCAACATGTGAGGTGCTAACTGAGAAAGGCTGATCTAAAGAAACTGCACTTTGCAAGTGCTTAGCTGGGCTGGTTCTTAATTTCTGAGAAACATCAGAATTTGACCTACCTTGGAGCCTACACTTGAATTTGAAGGCCAAGTCCCCAGTCTGGGAACACAGGTATCAGTGAGATAAATGAATTATTCACACTTGCTCAAAGCACTGTGTTTTAAAATATTCCTTGATACCTTCTAAGACAGTGCCATAGATTCAGGGTAGGTTCCCATGTTGAAAGTTCTGGCTCAAATCAAGCACTGGCTGTCATGTTAGCAGTTAGATGCTTTTCTTTTTATGTAATGATATTCTTTTTATCTACATGGAGCTGTTTCCCATCAAACGCTTCACTTGAGTGCTCTTAGGAGGCATCCTTGTCTAAAGTGACAAAAATTTACTAATTTACTTTAAGTAGAACATGATAGTTGCAATGGGGAGAGCATCAGTGCTGAAACCAAGATAAGCAAGAAGCAGGATTACAAAAAAAAAAATAAAAAATCTGAACTAAAAAGCAGACTTTCAGGCTGAAAAGAAATGATTGGTAGAGTTTGTTAGAGAGTTTTTTTAAAAATGGTATTCCAGAATTCCACAGCTATATTTTCCAGCTGTCTACTTACAAATGTATGTTAGTTAGTTTGGTGGGTGAGACTAGATTGCCTCACTCTAGAGTGCCTGGGGTAAAAAATGTGTTAGGTTTTGTTTCTGAACCCATCTGGTTCTTGAGAGGTATTCAGAGGGAATCAAGGAGTTTTGATGCTTTGGAAGTGTGATGATTGCTGGGCCATTCTGCCCTTCTCTCCAGTAGGTGAAGACAGAAATTCATACAATGCATTGAGCAACAGAGGTATTTTTAAGCACTGAGCTTTCTTGCTTGAATGTCATGCTAAATGTCAGCCTGATATCATGAAAAGAAGTGGCATTTTAAAGAACAGTGTGTGTTTAAAGGGATAAATTATTTTGATTAGTTATCATAAAGGGATTGATAACAGATGTGGAGTAGTTTCCTGAATCATAATGGGAATGAACCATTAAGGTGTTCCATTGTATACTGCTGTGTGTGTTGAGTCTGATGGAATTCAGGAATTTTTTTTCTCAATACTGTATAACCAAGAAAAAAAAATTAAACCGCTTAACATAATAAACATTTCTCTACAGTAAAATAATTCTTGGAATAATACTGTCACTTGCAAGAATTAAATTATTTTATTTTATTTTTTGCAAGATTCCTTAAAATGACAATGAGACATTTTAAGATTAACCATCCCAAATTTGTCTTCCCATTACATAAGACATTTAATTTTTATTTTCCTCTTCAAAACAATGGATAAGATTTGGCCCAGATTTGTTACTATGTAACTTTCTTTTGACAAGATTGAATAAATGGATTGGGTCAAGAAGGCATTTTTCCCAAGTCAGATTTCTTGTTTTGTTTGTTTTATAGCTTGGCATTCTTGCCTGAGTTTCTTGCATGTCATGTGCTTTAGATTCTACTTTCTTTTAATACTTCTGCACACTATAATTTTAATTATGAATATTAATTTTTGTAATTCTTGTACAGCCTCACATATAAGATCTACATAGTCCCATAAGAAATAGTTGGTTTTTCTAGAGCTTTTAAAATATGAGGAATTATTTCTTTCCCTTTTCTTGACTAATATTTTTAGAGTTATTTAAGTTATGTAATGGATTAATATTTGGGGCACCTTAGCTCTAAGCAGGCATTATATTTCAGGAATGTTTATACTGATAAGGAACTAGAACTGAGCAACAGTGTCTGATGTTTGTGCAGAGATCCACGAAGATTGACCTAATTCTTCTGCCCCCAAATATAATAATGTGGATTGGTCTATATAACTATGATGGCCAATATGCAAAGGCCTGGCAGGAGTAGTATGGGTGGAATAGCACTTTTTCTCCTGATTTTTGGCATAACCTTGCCCCATAATATGTAAAGTCTATTTTAGGCTCTTCTTTTCAACCTTGTGATTTCGTTTTCAACTGGTAATACCATGGAAATATATGTGAATGGGCTTCTTAGTATTTGTCTGAAATCTTTTATTCATATGATATATTTAAAATGAAAACATGTTTAAAATTACTTTTTTATACAAAACAAGATGGCTTTGGTACAGGCAAATATTTAAATTTTGCTGAAAAGTCAGAGTAATAATGAATTTCAGAGTGAACACAGCAGTGTAATATACTGATTATACCAATGCTAGTTTTAGTCTTGATGGATCAAATGTTTTGAATTAAATATTCTGAAAATGTAAATATACTGCTGAATATGAGTTATGATAAATCAGTGTCACTCTGGCATGTTTTCTGATTACAGGTTTCAGATTATCTTGAAGTGATCAAAGAGCCAATGGATCTGTCTACAATAATAAGTAAAATTGATAAACACAACTATTTAAGTGCAAAGGACTTTCTAATAGACATAGATCTCATCTGCAGCAATGCTTTGGAATATAATCCTGACAAAGATCCTGGAGGTAAGAAAATATTTTTTCATCTTTTGCTTAAATATGAAAGCACATTTAACTGTTAAGCAGTTGCAGTTTAAATATCTGTATAAATGGCTTCCCATTAATACAAATTGTTTGAAAGTTAGTTTTGGCAGAACTCTGTACTCTAGGATTATTTACTAAAGTATATTATTATTAGTATTAGTAGTAATAGTATTCACAGTTTACCTGCCTGTGATTTAAAGAACCATATATAACAGTTTGGACTTGTTTCTCACAACAACTCTATTTGTCAATTGCTCCAAGGGATTATGGGATTTCAAAACATGATATGACATGGAGACTTTCTGATCAAAGACTTGCTTAGGACAGTATTATTCTAGCAGTGAGATTCAATCTATTTATACATATTTCATTTGCTACATGTATTATTTAAGGCTGAGATTTTGTAGGCTTATACTGAAGCATGTCCCAGTGAAATAACTTACACTGTTTTCAAGTAAATATATTTTGGAGATCGAAAGAGTTTCTTTAGGTGTGCCAAATAGGTTGGCAGAGTTTGAAGAAATCTGTGCAAGTCACTAATTAATTTATATAAATGCATAGTTATTGAGTTTATTGCTCAAGGTATGCAAATTGTGATTCAGGTGTTTGAGGAACCAGAATGCTTCTTTTGAGAATAACATAAATGTTTTATTACTGGAAAACATTCAGTTGTGATTGTTGCATCACTTGAGAAAAAGGGTGTCTTTTCTCCCAATCCAGTTTTATTGTGTTTCAACAAGATTTTATTTTGTTATATATTATTTTAATATATACAGAAACTTAGAAATGTATCTTGTCTGTTACAATTACATTTATATATTGTTTGTCAGAAGAGAACAGAAAAATGCTTCCAAAAAATTTATGGGCACATAAATGAATCATCAGAGACAGGTGCTGTGTTATCAATTCTCCTTTCGTCCAGATGCTTTTGATAGTATACAAACTTTCCTATCCTGTTGAGAAGAATTCTGGTTGTTTAATGGCTTTAAGGGGAAGGGAAAGCCAATGTTATAATGTAGGGCGTTGTCCAGAAGCTTTCTGTGTTAGTAAATGCTGTCCATGTCCCTGAATGAGCCTGTGTGTTTTGAAAATATGCACACATTGCAAACCACACATAATAACCTGTATGGGAAGTCCCTTTCTGTTTACCAAAAGGTCTTAAATTCAGTGAAAGCTTCTGTGGTGGAAAGAGAAGAGTCTGATAATTCAAAATGCTGTTTTCATGATAGTGCAAATAATCTCCAGATTAGATCCTCAGGGAACCCAAAATCCTGCAGGGTGAAAGAGGAAAGAGTCAAAATTGTATCTCCTCTTCTGCCTATGGCAGTATTCTACAAATAGAGCTCTGGTCAAGGGAACTCTGGGTCTGAGTCTTCACATTTTCAGAAATGAATCAGACTTCTAACAAGACCCGCCTCCCCCCAAAAAAGGGAAATGAAAATACTTTTCCCCCTCCATCCCACTATTTGTTTGGCAGAATCAGCAGCACCCCAGCCACTACGACTTTCAGTAGTGTGAATATACCAACAGACCATTCCTTGTATAATATTCAAAACTCCCCTCTACTCCAGTGAGCTTTTAGTTGTGGACAAGAGCAAAATATATTGGTAATTTTATTCATTTACTCAAGATATTATAACCTTTGTAAAGGCTTAGTTACTTAATAGACACTATGTTCAAATTATGTATCTGTCAAATTTACCAAAATGATGTAAAACCCAACTGTATTTAAACTAACATTACTGCCTAAACTATAGAACAGTAATATTAAAATCTTGCTACTTTTTAAGTGAATGCTATTTTTTCCAAATTGTGAATTGGACACAGTAGGAGCATACATTTTTATTAATAGTTGTGGGGGGAAAGAAAATGAGAACAAATACACCATCTGTTTATACATACACGGCCACAGATATAGATGCATATATATGCACACCTTGAAAACAGTGGGAGAGTACTAGAGTACCGAAGTCATTATGAAGATTGATCCCACACAATGTATTTGAAATGTATATATCCTCTAAGCAGGTTTTGTGGCCTGCAAATGTTTCACAAAACTCATTCTGAAGACTCACTCAGTCTCAGATTTTTTTTTTTTATTATCCGCACTCAATCGTTACCAATTCTGCGGCGACTGCCTGGACGAGTCCCTGCAGTTTTCAAGGCAAGGTGTTTTGGAAGTGGTTTGCCATTGGCTCCTTCCTAGAGCAGAGCCCAGCTGGCAAGTGCAGGAGGCGGGGTTTCCGTTGCTTTGTGCCTTTTTCGGGCGTGCGTGGCTTCCGTGTTACCGGCAACTTGGTCCCGTCTCCCATGCAAGTGCTGCCAGCGTTTTTCCTCCCACCGGTGTGAGAGTACCCATTTATCTACTCATGTTGGGTTGGCAGGGGCTGGGGAGGAAGCAGGAGCTTGCTCTGCTGTGCAGAGCTGGGCTCAAACTGCTGAAGTGTCGACCATTTCTGGCTGGCAACTTTCAGCGTCATTAAGCTGCTGCACCACTGTGTCCCCTAGTCTCAGATAGCAAGTGTAAAAAATCTATCCAGTTGCTGGATAGACTATCCAGGTCAGGTGCAAGTTGTATGGGCCTGTTTCAGACCAAGCAAACATATCCCTAAGTAATTAAGAAGTTTTAAAAGATTAAAATATTAGCTCTGTTCATTGTTTGCATAATAAATATTACCTGAAAGAAAGTTGAGCTTCCATCACCAAGGAAAGGTAGATAAGAAAAAATTAACAAACACAGACAAAAATTCTGTGCAATATCCAACTTTGTTTTTTAAAAGTAGAGCTGCAAACTCCAGCTGAAACCAATCTTGGAGATCCCCTGCTCAATAAATGTATGTGTAGAACACACTTGTGTATCATTGTGCATATTTAAAGCAACACTTTAAAGCAGGACAAAAGAGTAATTGTATTGATAAGTACTAATTAAAATTAATTGCCTATGAAATAAGGTACCTGTTTATAAAATTAATTCCTATCTGCATATGCCATTTGGTCTTCCTCACAAAAGTGTCTTGCACATAGAAACACCCAACAACAAATACACCCACAACATCCTTTCAGTGGAAATAGATGAATAGAAGAAAAGAAGACTAGGGATGGGGTAGTGGAAGGAGTAGATGCTGTGAGAAGGGGGAAAAAGAGAATGGGGGGGGGCGGAGAAAAACAGAATAGACATGAGGGGAGGGGAAGACATGATATGACAGCAAATAGTAACATTAAGTTTACCAGGCCAGCCATCAATTCCAAGCAGCAACTGATCTTCAGGCTAATCTTCAGAGGTATCCCTCATTTTCAGCTTTGGGTTTGTAGCCAGTAACACATCTTGCCCATCTTTTGTTTTCAACAGCTTTTTCTATCTTTGAAATGGTTCTTCTCTCCAAATTTCCAGATACTTATTTGGAGAAAAACTTGGTTGTCTTTCTAATTACATTATGCTTGCTATGTGACTCCTGCTAGAAGTATGATTTATTTAATCACTTAATTGCAGTGTGATGTGAATTTATCACTTTTTTCTATATTTATACTACTCCCTGGGCACTCCTGGGGCAAAAATTATTACAAATTTAAAAAGCAACAAAAATGTGTTTGTGTGAGTTATGATACTACAAAATTGTATTATACTCCTTTTGTAGATAAAATTATTAGACACAGAGCCTGTACTCTGAAGGATACTGCACATGCTATCATTGCTGCTGAATTGGACCCAGAATTCAATAAAATGTGTGAAGAAATTAAGGAAGCAAGAAAAAAAAGAGGTATTGTCATCTTATTTTTTACTTTATATCATTGCTGCAACAGTGAAAATATATAAATATCATTGAATTCTTGATGGATTGTCTCTAATGAATCTCTTGTCAGAAAAAAGACTTTTTGAACTGAATTTTTTTTGATTTACGTTATTTTGATTTGGAGAGTGGATCCTTTAAATCCAATTTGTAAATATAATACTGTTTGTATGAACCCCATTTCTCAGTTGTAACTCTAAAGTTACAATGGTGCTGAACAAATGGTAGTTATGCCCGGTCCCTTCAACTCCTTCCACCCGCCTATCTCCCCCCCATCTCTGCCCTTTTGGCCGCCCTGCACTCCACCACCCCTGCACTCTGCTGGCCCTGCCCCCATTGCCACTCCAGCTCACCTTAGCTGTTTTCTTCCTCCCGCTGCTAATGAGGAGAACCTGGCCTAGCCCTTTGTGAGGCAGCTGCTGGCCGCACCAGGCGTTCTTCCCGAGGCTGCACGCACCCCTGTCCAAATCGCATGTGGTCTTCTCGCAGGGCTTTGAGGCCTTCCAAAGCCTTGTGAGAAGGCACTTGCAATTTGGACAGAGCCAGCAGAGATCAGAGTGGCAGGGGGGGGAGAGGGGGGCAGGGGCAGGGAGGGCGAAAAGGGGGGGGTTTGGGGGGGGGGGGGGGGGGGGGGGGGG